TTTCGAAGGTGTATTATTCTATAGGGAGATGTTATTTTTCCACATTCTATATATCATTTTGTTCGTGGAGACACAGGTAACAACTTTATTTAAAGGCGCTTTGAGTGCTTTGGCTGAGACTTTAGACGAAAAATTCAAAAATGCAATTACATTGATTTTTAAATTGATCGATATTATATGTTCAATTTTTATCCTCTTGATTTACGTGACAAATCGTGTGACTGATATAAATAAGTTACCCGGACAATTGATTTACATCAGCCAATCATACAAAAGTTCTCCTATGAGGCTAGGGTACTTTATCAGCCACCACTACGCCTAGCCATGGCAAAAAAGATGTCAGGTCATGTGATCTGAAATAGGTCCATTAAATATCAGATTAATATTAGATGTCAAGTATTAAGGTTAGGATTAGATCTGAGGTCAAGGTTATATATAAAATTGGCTTCCCGACATTTTTTTGATAATGTGTCAAGCTAGATTTAGATATCTGTTTTTGTATTTTTTGTATTTTTCGCATTTTTTGTCTTTTCTCATTTTCTTGTGCCAGATTTGTTTTGCCGGGTTGATCAAAAATTTGCTACATTCCTATTGGTTACGCAGAATTTTGGCGCGTTCTTATTGGTTGGATTGGTTTATCATCACGTGACCGACACCTTTTTTGCCATGGTTAGGGTACTTGTATACAGTCACCCCCTCTATAGTCACATCATATAAACCCCCGTTATAGTCACTATAATAAAGCACCTCACTATAAGCTGTAGTCACATTCATGAAAAAAGTTGAGGCCAAATTGTAATAAAGAATCTCCCTTTGATATGATTATGTTTATTTTATACGTCATTATCAAAGTTACCATTTTACATAACTATTTTATTAACTATTCTCAACCGTATTTTTGAAAAGCAAATTTGTACCATTTTAAAAAGAATTTCCCTTTGCTTATGCTTATTTTATATTTCAAATATTAAAGTTTGTACTCGTACCATTGTAAATATCAACTATTCTCAAATGAAAAGCAACTTCACCCAAATTATCACGTAACAAAAATGACTACGATCCCGGCGTTCAGTCACCATGGGATGTTATTTACCCGTTCATGTTCATTCGTTGATAATTGCTGCTTAAGTTAAAGGAAAGACAATGCAGCCCGCAGCAAACGCCAGAAGATGAAGGATAAAATCAATCGCACACTAATTATCGAAGTATATCCGAATCGTCCTCAGAAGCGGCTTTTAAAGCGCTGGATGGGTATGGTGAGATATGCTTAGATTGACGCCGTACTATACCAGAAACTGCCGTACCGATCCAATGGGTAAAGGCTCAATCCGCTAAAGACAAGCGCAGGCTTTTTTCAGATGTGAGGAACCCAAAAGACGGCTGATGGGTATATGAGACGCAAAGACAAATCCGCGAAACCCAAGTGGATGGCTCTATTAATGCAGTCTCGATTGATCCCGGCGTTCGGGCATCCTTCAAATGGTATTCTCCCACAAAAGGAGTGGGCAAGATTGGTGAATATGATATTGGATGTATTGTTGGAATTTGTGCCAATATGGACAAGTTAATTTCACGAAAAGCTAAGCTTGCGCAATCAACCTCCAAGCGCAAGCATAGAATTGGACCCGGGTTGGATACAATTGGATTACCTGCAGGTGGGTCGGCTAATCGGGTTATGGTCGTAGCTACCCGGGTAGATGCGGCTGGGTCAACCCGTCGGTTAGTTCCAGTATTGAATTCATTTGCCAGGCTAATCTAATTCAGAATCAGCATTTATCTGTTAATCTATCCAAATTAAATAACGCCTTTTTATTTTTACTGCACGTGAAAATTCATATGTATAATGTAATAAATCAAGTTCAATGCAGGAAATCAAATTACCTCTAAAAGAACCAGTTTGGCGCCCGAAATAGCGAGCAAATTATTATTTGTTAAACGGAATGGTTTATATTGTAAGCTTGAATCTAATAAAATAATTTTTTTATAAATATATGAAATTCAAAAAATTTGAATCCACGGATCGGGTACAACGGGTAAAATCCTTACCGGGGTTGTATTTTTTTAGACGGGTGCAATCTCTACGCAAACGAAGAAAAGTCTCTCGGATACGACGAGATATTGTTGCGACCGGAGAATGAAGTTCATATAAAGGCGATCGGATTCTTCACTCGTTAATTCGATGCTATTGTCATTCTCCTTTTAAGATATCTGATATGGTGAATTGTAAGACGAGAGAAATCTCACGAAAGACGGTCCGAAAGATGCTGTGCTGGGCGCAATATTGATTTCACTAACTTTTAATCGCCAAGCCTGAGGAATAAGGAGTCCGAATTATTGTCCAAACTGAGGCATATACATCAAAACTTGCAGCTAGTGTGTGAATACAGAAAATCGGAGGGTCTGAAGTATACAGCTGTCGCAATTCTGATAGAGATGAAGATGGCGTTCGGGCATTGCTTGATGGAGCTTTGGTTCTCTTCTGAGAATCATGCAGGAAATAATAGCTTTACTTAGTACTGCCTGTTATATACGTATTACGGAATCCCACTATTTACGAATCATTTCCATTTCTAAATTTATATCGATATTGATTTGAAATCAACATAAACACAAAAAAAGGACCAACGAGTTATACAATCTGCCAATATTGTCTCAACTCTAATATTTAAGCATCGCAGTTCTTTGAGATAGAATTTTAAATCCGGTCGTTGAGTCCGAATCTCTATGAATAAAATGAGATGATTCGAAATTAGGTTCTCGGAACAATTTTATCTTATATACATAAGTCGTCAAGCTCCATACAAATGCATAACAAAGCAAAATTGGAGTGGATTTCGGAGTTTTACAATTGTTAGCTTTCAGTAAAAAATACTTGCTTTCCAGTATTCTTAACAGAAAATCAAAAGACTACTCAGATTTGGGGGTCGGCGCGGAGATATCCTGGATGCGGGATTTCTTGATTAATTCGTTGTTTGTAACCTTTGTATTGTATTTATGAGAAGTACTTTCATCTCTTCTCTTCAAAGATAAAAAAAATAAAAGAATGAATCAATGTCTTTCTATTTACAAATTCCACTTGGCTCAATTATCGTCATTGCACTAAAGACTTGCTACACGCACAATACCTTTAAATATTGGGTTGATGGTGAATGCGGTTGCGAAAATCTTGATGTTTATGCTTGTCTTTGGTAGAGAATTTTGATTTAGAAATTTCTAAATACGGATTTTTTTTAAGGAACGCGATAATGCTGTCTGACCCCGTTGTTATCAACACTGATAATATCAACACCAGTTGTTAGCAACATTGGTCGCAGGACAGATTTCAAATAATAATAAATTATATATTAATCCTAAGCCCCCGTAGTTATCCACACTGTATATATCAACAAAATCTCATGATGTTGATAACAACGAAAGACCGAGTCGAAATTTCAATCCCATATTTATGGGTACTTGTATTTAAGAATGCCCTCTTGGGAACAATAATGCAATTTAAACTGGATAAAAAGTATACTTATATACTTTTAACGTAAACTTTAGATTTTGAGAAAAATGCTTACGTTCCAATAATAAATGGACTTTACACGGGAAATGCATCATTTAATAAAGAAAATTAATTTTCTAATTTGATTTTCGATAATATTCATGATTCCATTTCTGTTATATTTTCCGTATTTTTCTTAACCAATTCAGAAATCTGAGAATTGTCTAACGGAGTAATCTCTATTACACCACTCTTGTTCTTTACGCTTGGTGTTGCTATAGTTTGGTTTTATTTCACAAGCGCTACACGACCTATCTGGATTGTTCGGTATCAGTATTATGAATGAATTCAGATGTAACCTTTAATTTTACATTGCATCGCTTTTCTTTACAAATTACCGTTACCTAACGCTAAGCTTAACCAGATTTGTGACATACATGTACGTAAGAAGCAAGATACGTATCTCGATATGTATGTAATATAGATTACCTTTCTCGTACGGGGTCGACTTATTGCGAAAATACCAGCAAACAAATGCATACATGTATAAAATAAATTTTAGTATTATGCGCATAAAATATTCTGTTTCAGAGATTAATTTCTATGAAAAACAAATGAGACGACAAATCATGTCTTTGCAAACGATACTGTAAATTTGATTTGTAGGATTTATCTGAAAACTAATTAATTCCCATGCACTTATAAAGTCGTATTCTCCCGTAAACTAATCTTTCGAATAGCATTTATTTATTCTTTGTTGCCAAATTTGAAAATGGAAATCTAAACACAAAACTTTTAAAAGCAAACTAATAAAATACTCCTTGTTCAATGAGTGAAAGTATAAGTAAAAATAACCACACCCAAGAATGGACTGGTTTTGTATTGGTTAGCGCGGGAATAATGCTCACGCTTCACTCCATTATTCGTATGTTTATGTTGCGTATGAACGCTTCAAAGTTCCATCTTTTCATATCACTAAACACTTTAATCCTAATTACCGAGATCAATATGCTGTCGCGAATATTTGCTTTGATTTTTTTTGAGAGTACCGTAAAGACATTGATGATTACGAAAACGATAAACGATTTCTTCTATATTTTCGCGAAACCAATTATTCTTTATCTCACTTATTTACGATGTAAATCTGTGTGCAGTCTCTGGAATAAATGTCCTTGGCTTCATTTCACATTTTTTGCAATTCGTACATTACAGATTTTTTCAGGTAAATTCTTCGTTTTGATTTCGTGTGTTAGCTTGATAATAATAATTCAATCTTTTACAGTATTTGTCGCGGATTTTATTTACATTTCAAAATGCGATTACGACATGAGTGATTCACGATGCTCAGACCTCAAAGTGATCAAAACAATTAGGGACGCGTTCGCTCCCGCGCCAAGAATCTACTACATGATATCCGAGTCAATTTTCTTCGTGGTACTTTTCAAAAGTTTAATGCAAGTCAAAAGTTCACGAAAACATTTGGAAATCATTCGATATCGTCGTATTCAAACTGTGCTTTTCTCAATCGACCTTTGTCTGATAATTGGCATGATCATTTATCGAATATTGAATATTTTCAAGTTAGTGCCAACATATGATTATTATTATTATGTAGATGCATTTTGCACAGCTTTCACCGTCTACAACATGACTCAATTTGGTTTGATGCTTCCTCGACTTTTCAAAGTTACACAACAAAATGAACATATTTTGACGGGATCGTATTTGAAAAAAAGACTTTTCCCGTTGTTTAGTATTGTGACACAACATTCTTCTCTTACTATTACGCAAAAGCTAATAAATTCACCAAATGTGCCATCGATTCCCAGTACACCCGATCGATTACTTACTCGTCAAAGAAAATACTCTCTTGAGGATGACAATCAGCTTTCTAAGTTGAACCCAGTTTCGCTGAAAGTAGAGTATCCGTCCGCTAATCATTTGACTGAAATAAATGAAGAAATCGTTGATTCTCCTGTTGCCCTCGTTTCCTCTAAAGAATCTATTAAATAATTTTTTATCAAACTACACGAGAATAGAATTTAATGTATAATAAATAACATGCATATATTTTATCAAATGTATACAGGGTAATGTTTCTTTATTGATATAATTGAACTTTTCAAGTTTTCGTAATTATACGTTATTTGTCATTTAAATAATGCCACGAGGGAAAACAAAACGCCAAGGCAAGGAACGAGTCTTACTTCACCACACTCAAAAAGTTATGCAATCGCCCAAACAGTAATAGAAGGCCTTGGCTTCTCAACAATCCAAGAAACAAATAATGAATGGCTGTAGCTTCAACATCATCTTCCAACTTTGATCTCGCCAAAGTATTATATCCCCGTCGTACATAGATTCAGATAAGAGTTCAATTAGCTTGTGCCAGTCGAAGAAATTAGAGATTGAGAATTCTTTGACTCGCTGAATATGTTATTAAGATGAAAAAAAGTGATGGTGGCGGCTATACCAATACGTAGATACTTACTTGACACACCTAAAAACTTTTTACACCAGTGTTGGAAAGTGACCTCTGATGACCTTGGTATTATGACCCATTTTTCATTTATCCAATAAAATCTATAGAAGATGAGATTATATTCTATATAAAATGTTTAGATGATCTGATCATTGTTTCACTTTGTTGAGGCATTACTGTTATTATCTAAAAGTGGATCAATTTACAATTCAAGTCGATGAAGTTTTCTCTTTCGACAGTGCATAGAACGCATTGAAGAAGACGCTACGGGAGAAATTCACATCTAACTAAACGTCCTTCTAATACACCGACAAACTTGAAAAAGCGACAGTGTCCATAGCATGCGAGAAAACATTCAGATATGAATAATCCAATCTCTTGAACATGAATTTCAACTTTCGCGAGTTTTTATTTTATATAGTAGCTAGTTTTATAAATAATTTACAATAATAAGTACATGATTATATTTTATATTTTATATTTATGATTTTTCATTGAATGTAAATTTTTGGAAAAATGAACTTGTCCTCTTATTGCTTGTATCTGGCAAAGAAGCTTCCGTCCAATTTTCCACGACTAGATTTTCCAATTCCGTAAGATTTTCAAGATTCGCGTGTCGTCTTTCTTGTGCTAAATATCGTTCTCGAGTTGGCTTCAATGTATCCAAGTAGTAAGTTTCTACATAATAATCTTTGAGTAATGTTTCCAAGATCTGGACTCTTGCCTCGAGGCTTACACCCTCTGGTCGTTCGGCTAGCCGTTCTCCGAATGGTATTCCAGCGGCAGAGATATATCGTCTTGCCAGATGTTCTTTAAAGCTTCGACGAAAGAACCAACAACGAAATATATATTTCTGTGTAATTCCCCTATGAAAAAAAATTATCGTATCATTAATATCGAAACATTAAATTCGAATTAAACTAATGGAAAATTGGTTTCTTACCAAGGAGCAAATCTCGCGGCACCAAATAATAATACGAAGATACCAGCTGTTGCGGAGTAAAAACCCCCGAGTCTTGATATAGAATTTAAGACTAATTAAAAACAAACAATTATATTGATTAATAAGTTCGATCGGCTCAGATGGTAAAATATCGTTTTGCTTAGTATTTACCATTATTTGTATATGTTTCTTTTTCGTATCGAATATAATGAATTTTCGGCTGTAGAAAAAAAATAGCTTTCGATGAATCAGAAAGTCGCGGCATAAATCGTACATTAGTGCTAAATTCCAGCCAGGTCTTATCGGGCTTAACACCCAATTGACCCTGAAGATGCGACGAATAATAAGTATGATGGACTGTGACCAAATATTCAATTTGAATCCATTGACCAGAATCTAATGTCATCATATTATATTGTATATCATATGGCGATTTATCGATTTCAAATGGTGTCGACTGTGTATGGAATTCAAATGATGTTTGGCTATTTATATAAAACGAGTCGAAAACAAGAGTATAATAATATCGAGAATTATTTGTTGAATTATTGTTTGATGAATTCGTTACTTCATTTAAGAAAAATTTTAAATATTCTGTTGGTTTACTGATGGGATTAGTCATATTTGGTCGATTTGTATATCCTGTTGGAGGATAAAATTTCCAACATCCATCAATCGTTTGGTTCACAAAATTAGGGCAAGCTGGATTCGGCTGAGTTGATTGCAAGTCGCATGTAACATTGAAACCGTTTGTATTTGTTTCTTCTCCCGTTTCTGTAACCCCTCTTCGACATATGTTCATACCTTTTTTATTATTTATAACCTTTAACAATTGAATTCGATAACTTGAAAATAGCCATTAAAGAAATTAAGTAAATACCTGGATAATTTATAGCAGAAAACTTCTCGGTAAAGTCTATATTCGGTATATACAACGCCTCACCAAACGCTGAAATGACACTCCACAAATAACTGATAAACGCTAACGAAAACGCCGCAGCACTTAAAAACCTTATAACTTTGAACCAAAAAGGTTCTGTGGACTTTGTATTTTTAATAGCGTCAAAAAGAAACATTATAATTATTTTTTTTAGATATTTTCGAGAAAAATAAATTTTCTTTTTTCTTATACCGATACCCTATTTATTTATTTGTTTGTTTGTTTGATTATTATGACCAAGTTTATACTTGAATGTATGTATACTTAACTCGACGGATATGGAAGTTTTATTCTCGTTATCATATTTGATTCATGGCGATGCGTGTTTCACAAAGTAGTAAAACAACGAAATCATGCCGTTTATATCAATCTTAATAGATAATTTGAATTCGAAATGCAACTTATCTTTGATATTTGTGACACAACTCTGTTCTCGAAAGATATAGAAAATTTAGTACCATTCCTTTGAAACCATTAGAATTAGTATTCTATTTAATAATGTAATTATTTAGGTTAGGAAATTTTAAGAACTGGTAGAATTAAAAGGTTAATTAATTATCCTATTTCATTTTTTTTGATACATGTATAATTAATTTTTATGTTAGCAACCGACCGACTGTATATCAAGTAACTTAATGGTCAGTACGTAGTAAAGACAACTTATCGAGGATGAAGAAAAACATTGTGCACATTAATTAACGTTAAGGACCAAAATTAAAAAAATCCAATTCCAATTGGAGTAATTACCAATTTATACTGCGTCATTTTAGCTGGAGTCCTGGAATTATTCTAATCCAATCCAACACTGTACAAAGTTTATTTTTACTGTTCGAAATAATTTTAACATGATAGCAGTGAAATTTCTTGTCTTTCATCATAATAGTAAAGTGCCACAAATTAGGAGATTTGATGGGAAGTTCCATTAGTCACGTCTGATATTTTAATGCATACTCACAAAGGAGGGAGTTAGTTTTTTTTTTTAGTAAGAAATCATCTAATTTGTGTTACGTACTTCTCTTACTGTCGATTCCGTCTTTATTTTTTTAGGGGCTTCAAAATTCTGTAACGGTAACGGTAAAGGTAAAATTCAGATGATCAATAAACTACATGCATGAATTGATTCGTCACACCAATTTCGAATCACATGTACGTGTACGTACGTAATTAGGGTCGATTTTTCATCTCGAAAGAATTAATTTAGAATCAATGATAGAATTTTAACGCGCGCTATCGTTATCAGATACACAATACAGAGGATGATATTCAATACGTATGTACGTACGTATCGGTATATCGATATCATTTCAACATGGTATTTTGAATGTTACAAATCATTCACATCAAATAGGATTAATGATGCAACATGACACTCATTCATAGTAAAAGTGGGGTTTTTTAATAGTCTATTCCAATAGCATCTTATGTTCGGGAAAAGTTATTATATTATGTGAAAAATATGGGTTTGTCACTTTTAGTGGTTTGTCACTTTTAGTGGATAAGCTCAGTTTAATACGCCAGCTTCCCGTAATTTTTTTTAACCATTTTTTGATTAATAAAATTAATAAATTTGCCAATATCGATATCGATATTATTACTTTTAAAAAAATTCACAAGTTCCCAATCAAATAATGATTCGCATTATTAAAGTTTTCGTCGAACTACTTGCTGTGACGGTCCTGGCTTATTTTCGCTTTCTACAAGTTTAGAAAGTTTATATAATGATTGAAATAAAATCACCACATTACAAAAAAACTCGCAAATATCAGTAATAATTTTTACAGTCATTTTTATTATCAGAACAAAGAAATTACTTTCGAACTTCCAAGGGAAAAACTGTTGACAAAATTCTGCACAAACCTTTTTGGGCTAGTGTATTAAATTATGAAATGTGTCAAATCACGCAATTATGACCAAGGCGGAAGCTTTGGAGATGAAACAAACCAATTTTTAATTTTTAAGTGCAGCAAACGGTTGTGTCCGTCGCCGCAATATAAACATATATTCTAACGCCTAACGCTAGAGTGTAACCTTTCTTGCTTAAACTCCTGTCTATACATTAACGTTAATGCTACACAAACATCGCTTTGGAATTTTCTTAATATCAACAACTTTTTTTGCGAATATGATTAACCACGTGTATCGCCAACTTCTTCCGACTTTTCACCCCTATCGCTATTAATTGCGTTGGTTTCTGTCTTTGTGTTTTAGGGATGTATGTACAGATATATTTACGTAGTTATAAAGAAGGAATTTTGTGTGAAAAAATAAGATCTCATATAGGATAAGACTGATTATTTATCGTTATTTGATTTATATTTTCTTATTGAATTTGTTAAATTATGGCGGAATCAAATTTGAACCAGAAATCACCTGAACGAAATACTTCTGTTTCGCCTAATCCTAGCTTAGCTCCAGTTCTTTACTTTCTTTCATCGTCGGATTCACATCCCGAAAGTTCTTTTCGGCGTTACTCGTTTACCGGTGCTCCACATTCACAGAAATCTAAAGGACGTTTTTCAAAAAGAGAGACTCCTATCGAACTTTCGCAACACACACCCGAAATCTCGATAAATATAGATTATAACAATGAAAAAACGGACCACCATGTTGATAGGTAAAATCTTAAAGATATATCTCAATTCTATTTTAACCAAATAAAAACCTTTATTTTTTGCAAACAGTGATTTAAATAAAGAGACAAATAATCAACTAACTGATCCTTCTGGAGAAAATCCCGCGCGCGAAACTACTGAACAAAATCCAATGGAAAATGAAGATGACGATGACGATGAAACACATTACGAAAGGGAAGATGACTTTCAGGTCTATTATTTTTTTATTATTATTGGCCAATTTTGTGCTAAACGATGACTGACAAAATCTTTTCCGCTAAAAAAGAGAATTTTTGATCCTTTTGAGAAAGAACGAATAAAAAACCAATTGCGATCACCTTGGCAACGTAAATGTTATTACTTCTTCACAAAACCGAAATCGATATACGCAAAAATATTTTCTTTTATATCATTGTCATGTGTTGTTGTTTCAATCACATTTTTTTGTGTGGAGTCTCTGCCACGTTTTTTCGCAAAACAACCGAAATATATTCATGAAAGATGGTGGTAAGTTTAACTTGAGAATTGACCATAGCGATAGTTTCCGGAATAAATTATCAAATTGTAATTTTCTTTTAAAAGGCTTCCACTCGATCTTTTTATCTGTGCTATCTTTACGTTGGAATACGTCGGGAAATTATATGCTTCAGTTGATCGAATTAGATTTGTATTTCGTAAGTACTATCGCTATTTGTTTTCTCTAAAAAGCAAAATCCTGTGAATTTATATTTTAAATTGGAATTTGTTGTAGGATTTTGGAATATCATTGATCTTCTCTCAATCATTCCTTTTTACTTGGATTTGATAATTCCTATCACAACAGGGGTAAATAATTTATTGTTAAGGTTAACGTTAATTGTTAACGTTAATTTGTGTTCCTATTAAATCCAATTCTTTTTATTTAGTTAACGATTGTTTATTTAAGAACATTGCGACTCTTTAGAATTCTTAGGATATTTCGATTTGCTAAAAATTCCGTGGGGTTTAACGTGAGATTCTTAATTTTATCGTTGACGAAATAAACTTGATTTTATCCGCCCTTTATCTAATTTCAGATTACGACACGTGTCTTCAAACTCTCACTCGTTCAAATAGCCATGATGTCGATTTGGGTCTTTACTATTGTAATCACCTCGTCAACTATCATGTATTATCTTGAACGTGGCGATTTTAATCACGACGATCTTACTTGGTATCGAGCCGGAAGTGACGGGCAAGTGGAGCCAAGTCCATATCAATCAATTATTCACAGTTTCTGGTGGTCAGTCGTGACAATCACTGTATGCTATTCCATTTGGAAATTTTTGTATTTCATTCATTTGTTTCTTTAACTTTTAACATAAAGTTTTGAGCATAGACGACCGGTTATGGTGATGCTGTTCCTATAACAGGTTGGGGAAAATTTATCGCAGGGATCACAATGTTGTGCGGCATCCTGTTAATTGCTATACCAACTTCAATTATCGGGTCTAATTATGTAAACGAGTGGGCTTTATATCGACGCATCGAATTCCAGGAGCGATTACGAAAAACTCGAGAAAGAGCAAACGAAACAATTGCATTTACCGGAGGCAAAACCAAACAAATCGAGATTCTTCGAAATCAGAACCAAACAATGTTAGAAGCTCTAGCAGAGATTCAAGAAAAGTTAACTGACATTAATCCACCTCGTTACTGGCAAAAATACAAAACTTTGCAAAAGGATTATGAGAACGCCTTGATAAGGATCTCGCATTTGGAAAAAGATGTATCGAAGTGGAAGCGGATAGCTGAAAACCTCGATCGTTTTAACGGAAAAATTTTTCCTGGATCAAGAAAGTATGACGAGATGAAGAATGTCGATGGAGAATTTGGTGGTGCTGGTAAATGCGAACAGAAAAATTCTAGAGATGATGGCTTGCACATATCGGGAAAGATGTGGGAGAAACTCAAACCAATAAGATATAACACCACGTCAGAAGTACGAAATTATAGTGATCAAGAAATGAAGAGCCAAAAAGAGAACAATTCAAAATCCAAAAAACCAGCAAAAGGTACTTCACGGTTTTACATAAAACTACCATTAGGAAGACGAAAGGAACCTCACAACGAAAGCTCTCCTCATAGCATTGATAAAGCAAACATCGGTTCTCCTATTGATCTATATTCTAATTCTAACCCAATAATTCCAGACGAAAACTCGAGTATCAATTTAAATGAGACTAATAAAATGTTATCGGAAAACAATTCTGATTCTGAGGACAATTTACAGAGTATTATGACATTTCCCAGAAGAGTTAGAGATCTTAAACGAGCGAATACAACTATATTACCTCGCCAATATATGGTCGAAAAAAATAAAACTTACAACTCGCCATTGGATTTATTTAAAAATGAGACAGAAAAGCGAGAGCCAGTTGCACTAAATGCAAAGAATCTCGATAAATCCGATTCAAAGACAAGTTTAGATGCAGATACTCGAACTACTTTAACCAATATACCAACAATCTCAGTTTCTCCAAAACAACCTTCCTTACTAAAAATTATGACCCAACACCAAATCGACAATTCCGGTCTTGAAGCAGCTTCAGAGAATGCGAAAAATGAAGAACGACTTGAGCATAATAAACCAACTTATGTTAAATTTTTATCAGAATCACCAACAGATGAGTCAAAATCACATGATTTTAACTCGGCAACCTAATATTATAGGGGAGGAAGGTCTTATCGTTATGTGTCTATGTATATGTATATAAAAGGATATTACTAATGTCTGTGCCCCGTATTTGTATTTATTTTTTGGATATTTCGACTATCAAGTTTAGAGTTCTAACAATAGAAACTCTAAATTATACTTTCTACGACATATATCGGTATAGTTGGGATGCAATATTTATTAAGCATTCATAAATAAAAACAAATGGAAAAGTGAAAGGGGCATTCTAATTGGACGGCCTTAGATTTGATAGATAATTTTGGTCACAAATAATATGTTTTCAAAATAAATCGACTTCATAGAAGAGGGAGGGCTTCGGGTTTGTGAATCAATTTATTTTGAGCGTTTTTCACCTCTATGCTTGGTATGCTAGCTGTTAAAGAATATACGTAGTTATGTAGCTCTCGGCGTATATGGTAAGCTTTTTTATTGTTGGCATATAAATTGTTTCAGTCCTGAGTAAATTATTAAGAGATGTATTATTACTTTAGAATCAAGAGCTAATTGGTTTCCTAAGAGATGATTTACAGAATTTTTCTTAATCACATATAGAATTTAGTTATATTTACTAGGCTTCAAAAAAAGGAATGCGTCAAGTATAACGATAACTTTAAAAAAGATTATTCTTAATTCGGATTTCGCAATCAAATGAGTAACAATAGCATCGGTGGAGGTAAATTTATTGATATGGCTTTTTTAATACTAGAACAGAACGCGTTTTTGTTATTAATCATATGGCCAACCGCGTATCGGAAATCGAGAGTTCGTCATGACAATAAATCAGAGACTGAAGATAGTTCGTATCGGTATCATACAAATATAAGTAGTTCTTCAAAAGTTTTGTGACACGTAATGCTTTGGGAAACCCCCGAAGATAGTTTATTGAGAATATCGATATAAGTGATGCTGTTTTTCACCATTGATATCTTCATGAGATATACATGACAATTCGGGTGGAGCAATCATATTAAGATAATTAAATATAAACTCGAAAAATGATTGAATTCCTAATCCAAAGTTATAATTGACTACGTGTATTTTAAAGGTGATAGAAGACTAGCAATTGATTATCGTCACGTTAATTCTCAAATTGAGAGCATGGTGGAAAATCCATTTGATTGGCTTGGCAAATAAGAAAATGACTGTCATTTGACAATATTGAATGATAACAATTATTTATTTGATAAAATGACATACGTACGTATACAGTCCGCACGGAAAGCAATGACGAACAGATTTTTGCTGTGCATATAATAAATCACCTGTTGACATACGCTATATTTTTCCTGTTTACGTACTTACTGCCGGTATGCAATAATTTTCCTTCTCTATCACAAAAAATTGGACCCTGCGTTCTGGAAAAACTTTTCTTTGTAATTCTGCAAAAATTTCTTAAATAAATTATGCTCATATTCATTTCTGTAAATGATATAATATTTATCTTTACGAAAATACTCATCCATCCTCTTTAAAAAAATTTTTGTGGCACAGTATGCAATATGCATTTTTTTATGGTTTTTACAGTCTGAAATCTTTTAAAAATATATTACATATTCATATAAATCATATATAAAAGCTGCAATAAATGCTAATTATTATGTATTGTAATATCTACTGTAAATATCTACTGTAAATATTGTTATTATATTACAGTATTATCAGTACTTGAAAGATCTAATAATGCTAGTTATTATATAATATATGATTATTTTTCAAGTAAGAATCTGAAAAAGATAATTAAGATAATAATATTACAAAAATAGAACATGTTACAAAAGGTTTTGACTATATTAATAAAAAAAGAAGTGAAAATATATTTTTTAAGAAATAGTTCTTATAATATTTCAGAAGCATTTTGGTAATTCAGTTTTGGTTTCAATTTGCTATTAAAAAAAGTATTTCAGTGATTATTTTAGTAACATATTTTTAAATAAATTTTATGTCTGTTTCGAGAGTATACTTTGAAAAAATTATTCTCTCTTAAATTGTTAGATTTAGCAGACAAATTTATCAGCTAAAATTCTATAATTTATATCTAATATATTTTTACTAAAATTAAAATATTTTAAAAAGTTTGTTTAATTTTCACTTTTTTAATAATTATAAAAAATTATAATTGTCTATAAGTAATTTTAAAAAATTTTTATTATTAATCTTATATTTAAAAATATTTTATAATAAAATTACAGAATTGATTACAAAATAAATCAATTATTTTGAGCAATTATAAATAAAAATTATAAATTTTATATTATATTAATTAAAAATATATTATTAAATTAAGCTTTAATTATATTTAAAATAATATATAGTATTTGATAATAACAAAAATTATTTTTAAATTATAACTTTTATGAATTTTATTTTATTAATTTAATTATAATTAATAAATATATATAAATATAATATTTATATAATATTTTATTTAATTACTTTAATATATTATTTATTAAAATAAAATAAAAATATTATTTTATATTTCTCTAATTAATTTATATTAACATATAATATTAATTATTTTTTCTTTTTTTTAATTATATTATTAACTTATTTTTTCATTTCTTTTAATAATAATTCACAATTTCTTTATTGAATTAAAATTAAATTTATAAAAAAATCAATTAAGAATTTTTAAAACTAAATAATAAAAAAGTTCAAATATTTTTGTTTATATATTTTAGATTATTTTTCTATTAAAAAATTTAATATAATATTATAAGTTTAAATATATTTTAAAAAGATAATTAATTAAAATCTTGCAATAAAATAGCTTATTTATATTTTAATAAATATCTGAAATTAATTATTTTACATGTTGAAAAAGTATTTTATATATATAAACTTTTATAAAATATTTTGAATCTCTCTTTTATAAAATATTATTATAATATTAAAAAATATAAAAAGTAATTTTATTTAAAGATATGATAGCTTTTTAGTTCTGTTTGCATAAATAATAATTTATTTTTTTATATAATAATTGTATTATTTTATGATAAATAAAAATATTATTTTTAAATAACTTAAATAATATTCAAATTTATTAAGTTATAATTTATTATTTGTATGAATATTTTGATCTTAATAATAATTTTTTCATAAATAAAATATTAATTATTTTGAATGATTCTTTTTAATATACACTAAGTTTGAAAAATTAAAATTTTTAAATGTTCAAAATGAAAAATAGATTCAAGTTTATAATTTTTTTTAGTTAAGTAATATACTTGTATATTATAAAAATAGAAATATTATTTAATTTTGCTAAAGTTAAAGCATTACAAATATTATGATGTGTATCATATAGTTTTAAAGCTCACTTAGAATTTTTTGTTGGTTAACAAGAGGAATTTTTCATTTTACATATAGATTTGTTTTTTTAGAAACCTGTTTTTAAGTTACATTAATAAACAAACTGGTGTTAAAAATTGATTTTGTTGGATGATGCAATTAGAAGATTCCCATATTTATGATACTGTAATTAATTAACTTAGTTTATAATTAGAAAAATCTTCTTGGATTAAATCTAAAAATCATATATTAAATATGAATTATTATTTGCATTTTTGTATAAATTGATTAGTAAAATTGAATACTTTTATATAGAGAAAAATCTGTGTTTTATTAATGAATTTTAATGCTGATATATATATCTATCAATAAAAATGAAATTTCAATATAGAAAGAAAATTATCCTTATGAAACCAACGAAAATTGATAAATTATCGGCTAATTTGATTTTTTATATTGTTTGAATTTATAATAACTTTCTTCAGATCACTTAATAATTTCTTTTATATAGCAAATGAATTTACTGCTCTTCAAGAAAGAAGTACATATAGATTAGAAGTATTCACATAATATGATAAGCGACGAAAAAATCATTCGAATCTCTTGAGTGACCCATCCAAAGATACATTCCTCGCAAGTCTTTTGGATACCTTACGACGAAAACTTTATAGATGAATTTAATCACCTGTTTCATGAAGAGAGTGATGTTTCTGTATCTAAAAATTGGTTATTTTTCTTAATATTCAACCTCTTATTTTTGTATAATAATGGGACATTCACCACGATAATTGATATACTTAATACTTATATAACAAAGTTATTACATTTTTCTGTTGATTTCTAATTTTTATAACGATAACAATAACGTATTTAAAGAACTGAAGATCCTTTCCTTTGTCGTTATATAATTGGAAAGGTACATACGTAATTGATTATTTAGATAAAAAGAATTTTACCCAGTGTAATTGGAAGAGTGCATTATAATGGCCAGAAAGAAGCTCTTTGAAACACAAGGAACCAATCAATGTACATATCTATCATATGATAATAGAATAGAATTTTTCTCGGGATATGATGAAAATTATACTTCCGAGATGATTCAATACAGGATTTGCCATGTATTTGCCATCATATAAATAATACAACTCACTCTCGTTACAGTCAACTCTCGATACAGTGAACCTCCCAAAATAGTTGATCGTGAAACATTGGTATATATTTAATCTTTTCCCTTTATTTTTTGAATGTCATTCGTTATGTGATACGGTCAAACCTCGAACCTCGATCGACTATATGCTATAGTACCGGTATCGCCCGTCAAACTAACATTTGCAAAAAACATCTAATTAATAATAACGATAGTTATTATCGTTATTCATGCGATTCTAAAAAAAGAAACTCCGTGTAGTACATATAAATGACTCGACTAGATAAAAATATGTTTGTCATTGATAAATAGTCATTGTCATTGTCATACATGTATTTTGTTTATTGGATTTATTTCGAAATTCTTAAATAAGAAATTCGAAGTGAGGCGTAATTCCCATTCCCGATGTTTTTTTGTTCCAAAATTACCCGCTGTCACGAGCTTCGGATTTGAGATGCACACAATCGGAAGATTTGCACAAAGAAACAACAATATACATGTATAACGATAATATTGATAATAATATTGATAGTAATATCGATATCCATGTATTCCCATCGTAACTTGAAATTTACATAATTAATAATTTACATCGAAAATATACATATTTTGCAAACTAAGATCGATACCAATTAGCTAAAAAACAATTGATATTTATTATTATATATTTGAATATATTTAAACATGAGCCTGACTTTGAAATGTCGCCATGACAGATTTTCTACGAGCGATTGCCAATTCTTCGTCAACCATAGAACGTGTTTGATCGTGATTTATTTTCTCTATATCGAGGCTTGTACGTCTCGATTTTCTACCAAACAGCGAATTAAAGAACCCTTTACGAGCTTCAATAGTAAGTTCGTCTTCATCAAGACTTTCGTCAATGATAAGTGGACGGTCAGGGTCCAGATCAGGATTAATTGAAGGATCAGAGCATTCCGAATCTCGACGAACTCTGGTCTATGAGAGAATTCATTAGTTTATTATTATTATTGTTATTATTAAGTGAACCAACAACAATGATATACATACCATACTAGATGCAAGAATCACTGCTTGATGTTCGTCGTCTAATTCCTCATCGATGTTAAACAGGGAAAAGTTTTTTTGGTTGATAATTTTTTTCTTATTTGATTCTAAAACTGTCTTATTCTCACAGTTATTGTGCGAATCAAATGATGGTGAAGAATCTAAAACGAGCATTGGTGGTTCACACGTAGAATAATCGATTTCAAACGACTCTTCGTTTTTCTGCATTTCGTTTTCCCTTTGTTCAAATTCGACCGCTATAAAATCGAGCAAAGTTGAAATTATTTGACGAGCGTCCAAAGCGCCATTATTATCCGTAGTTTCGCGATTGTTTAGTGTTTCATTTTTATCATGATTGAGATGGCGAGTCATGAAAGAAGAGGACAGAATAGCAAAATCGCTAAATTGATTAACAGGCTGATATCCAACATAGGGAAGTTCATCCTCTTGTTGGGTTGGTGAAAATAAAGGATAAACTTCAAATTGTGGGGACAAAATCATTGACATTATTTTAAGTTTTATTTAAATTTAAAAAATATAAGTCGTTAAAATGAACGTGTAAAAAGGTGAAAAAGTGAATCTTTCCAAAAACATTAAAAAAAATATTAAACACAATAATCCCTTGTGTAAAAAGTCAAAGACAGTGAACTTTTATAATCATAATGTTCTGCGCTCTAGATCAAGCTGTTGTCATTCGGCGTACACAACTTTCACATTTTCTGCATATCATTGAACAAGAGTCGTACAAAATAGTTAATTTTGTGCGTCCAAACAGATATGATCTGCAATCGGAAACACTTGACGCTAAGTGTTTTATTAAATTGGGTAATGTTGTGCATCTTGCTAAAAGGAAAAGAAAGAAAAAATGCAATGACTAATTCATATAATAGAAGACTATCTATTTCTAGAAATGATCTCATTGAACTACAACTACATGAGTGTGCATAATATCTATCGCTATGCATATTACACAAATAAGAATACTTTATAGAATTTCGAGTTTGAAAATTGAGCAACTTGGCGCTCCAATAGCAAGCCATCATAAAATCGAATTACGAACTTATGTACTTCGACAAGAATTGCAAATGATGTCATTAATTTTTGAATCATGAAAAAATTCATTACACAATTTTTAATTGTAATGAAACCTTGGCAATGAAAATGAACGGTACGTACGTAGTGAACTCCAAAAAAATGGCACTCACTCTCATAATGCACTCATAAATGCACTTTGGATCATATGATTCAAACAGAACTGCAATTCAGTTCATTGACCAAGTTATATGCTAGTTTACAAGCGACTCGTTGCCTTAATTATATTAATACTTCATATATTTGTAAATTGAAATTATTAAAAGATTCATATTATAAATACGTTCACTAATGGTGCAAATCATAAATTATATGTTTTTTAAGGTCCTTGCCTTTTCCCATAATTCCTGGACTAGATTTTGCTTGCTGGAAGATTATTTCCATAGCTTAAATCGTCAATATGCAAACCGAGTTTGTGGTTAGTTAGGCTACTAAGAATAGCACCGAAATCCGAGGTTATGAATAAAGGTACATCTTTTCTGTTTCGAGAATTCGGAGATACATGTACTAAAAATCATTTATATCGATTTCTTATTGAGGTGAACAAAGAAAACTTGTTCGACAGGTTTTCCTTTATCGCTTTTCACGAAGTAATAAAAATTCCGGTTCCAGTTATTGGAATAGGTATATTGAACCTATTACGTACCGGTACGTATTATGAATTATCGTTATTTCAGGTTAAAATCTATAAAAAGAAACTACGTAGGTATCCAATCACATACATGTTACTGACAATGAATAATAAAACTAGCATATTTCATTGTGACTGATAGTAGTACGTATCAAACGAAAATTGTCAATGAACTATTAAACATTTCAGTTTTGCATGTCACAATACGTGGTATTTTACATGTGAACCTTTAAAGGATTCCACTCTAAACATTTAGGAATCATGAAGGAAAAGTGGAATCTGAGAGAGGTTTACACGTAAAATACGAATATGGCTGGTTCGCCATAGGAGACTTTTCGAATCACAAATCGTCGACAGCTCGTAATTCAGATCAGTCAGTGAAAACGCGATTCATGTCTCTGGGTTGTATAATTTCCCCTCTGATGCTCCAATCACCGGAATAAAATCATTTGTCGCGAGTTTCGTCTATTCGTATTGATCTCATCATAATCAGTGTCAATGACAACTACTATATTACCTGTTTATACATGTACCTTTCAAAAACTCCGGTTCCAGTTTTCCGTTATATGACAGATGCGAAATACATGTACATGTAATTACGTACGTACTTTCATTGATAATCTATACGTAATGTAAAAAAATAACGCAATGAATTTATAAAATCAAAACCTGTTGTGTGTGGAATAGAAGTTTGGTATCTTTCTCTAGTTAATACATTTTGGGTAATGTTGACTAACTCGAATCTTTAAAATGTATTATAGCAGAATGTGGGGTTGAATTTGTAACAAAGGTGTAGCTTCATTTACACGAGGACCAGTCACAGGCTGACTCCGAGATCGTATAGCTATACTCTTAAACTTTCCACGACCTCGTCGTCCTTCGCCACCAGTTTCTAATCGTACCGTCAATCCTACATATTTATCCGTTTCATCGTAGATTTCTTCTTGAATTAATTCTTCGAGTACATCTTCGAGCGTTATGATACCGATTGGCGATGATTTTCGTTCTCTCTTGCTTTTCACAACAATTGCAATATGACTTCTGCCTTCTTGGAAGATGTTTAACATCTCAAATAATGGTAGATCGGCTTCGACTGTTGGTATTGTATTTATTACGCATGTTCGAAGTGGCGCCGCTTCACTTGGACTATAAAGTATTAAAGACTACGAAGAGATAGAGAATTATCCAATTTTGTCTTATTATCACCATTGAATTTTCTATATAAAAATTAACGCGCGTATCTCACATTTGTCAGCAAAGCTCCAATTATGTTTTCACGTGTACCCTCGTATACAGGAATCCGTGAATGGCCAGATGCGACAATTACTTCCAAAGTTTTTCGATCCAAAATTGCGTCGTCGTAAGAAATCATAAAAGTTCTTTTGATTGACGTCATGGCATTCTCTACAATTTTTTCTTGGAGATCAATTGCTCCACGCATAATAGTCACGGTATCGGTTACAAGGTCACCGCCATGTAACGTTGAAGATTCGTGATATTTAATCAATTCTTTTAGCTCTGAAACATCCTTTTCGTATTTAAAAATTTCATAGATTCTACGAAAAAAAATGGCATTGATCTTTATAAATTACCTGCGCGGCAATAAATCAATCCTTTTTCTTTACCCAGAATAGTGTCTAACAATCTCGCGATCGGATATGACACGACAAACTAAAAAAAAGGTAAGTTTTATTATGTGTAATGATAATCAACATCAAATACGCAATAGACGACGACGACGACGACTTACAGTGATCCAAATGAAAACTCTCACGGGCCTAAAACAAAGTCAATCGAGATCAAAGGAATAAGTGATCAATGCGAATCAAAAACTTACCAAGCAAAAAAGGCGCCAATTGCAAGCCCATATTTAGAGCATACAGCTTGTGGAATGATTTCACCAAAAATGACGATAAGACCACTGGAAATGAGAATTGCAATTACTCCTCCGCCAATTATATCGTCCATTATAATAGGTAAAGTTTCATTTATCAGGACATTCGAGAGTAATAATGTGACCAAAAGTAGATGCCCATTTTTTCTTATTGGTTGAATACGAGCAGCGTATTTACTTTAAAAAGATATAAAAGACGTGAATATTTCATTTCAAGTCTTTACGCGGAATCAATTCGTGATATCTCACCGCTCTTTAGTATTCCCTGAGGCTGCGAGAATATGAAGATTTGTTTCATCCAAACTCATCTATTGAGAAATAGCGTATTGATCTCATTTGCAATATCGAAAGAAATGAATACAGTAAAATGATAAATTTAAAACTGGGCCGTAAGATACCAAACCAAGTGTAAGTCCTACATAACATTACGTAATAACCATTCATGTGAGACAAGTATACTTGACGCCAAATGCAAGGGTACACATAATTTCGTACTCTTGAATCCGATTGGCTAATAATCCTATACCGAACACACCAATCAAATTCAACCGTACAGAACGAAATCTTTGCAATAAAGATTGTTGTTACCAGCAAATAACCCTCCGAGCAATACCAATATGATGGACGCTACCAATTTGACATAAAATAAAGTTGTTCCAGGTTCATGAGGTTTAAATTGATCCATGTCAAAATGTGAAGAATAAACTGTTTTGACAAACAACGTAAGAAAGAATAGTGTAAAACTAGATAATGATTTATTCATTGGTTTTTTAAAATTAACGTTAATATTCGATGATTTATTAAGCTTGCGGTCACTTTCGCTTTTATCTATTTTTTTTAATCCTGATCTATTCGTTGTTACAAATGTATATAGAAAAGAACGATAACGATAGAATGGATGTTGTATCACTAAATACGTTGATCTATTTGTTACGATTTATCGTTATTAATGAATCAAGTCTCGTGAGGGATGCATCCACCCGATTTGGTAACCAATAGCATTGCGTATTTTCGGAAATTTCTACTGTAATAAAGATTAAGGTTAAAGGATGGTTTAAGATTAGGGTTAGGGTTAGGGTTAGGGTTGGGGATGGTGATCCAGATTATATATAAAATTGTCTTCTCGACATTTTCCATTAGTACTCCGGACCAGATTTAGACATTTATTTCTTGTATTTTTCACATTTTTCATTTTTTTGTGTCAAAAATTTATGCATTCTTATTGGCTGTTTTTTTATCATAACCAAATCAGGTGGGGTACATAGATGCACGCGTCTCGTGAGGTGGCGTTGCCATGCAGCAGGGACCCGAGAAAATTTTTGCCAGAGTAGAATTTACAAGTCACTTTCGTTATAATGAACTATAACAATAATAAATCCTCTCGACATTAATAAACTCTCGATATAGTAAATTTGTTTCTAATAACAGGTTGTTAACTTCCAATTTTTATACAAAAGCTATAAGATTTAATGTAACAAATATAAATAAAAATTACTTTCGATATCGATATCGATATCAATATTAATACGTATATTAAATCAAATCGGGAATTTTCTAATACATGTACCATGTGGCAGATTAAGAAAAATCTTGTGCTCGGATCATATTTGATAACGATAAATTACTACATGTGGTGGCTCGACTGATGTTGAAATCAAATTTCGCGAGAACATACATTATCATGATACTTTCTTTAATATCAACAAACAAGCGTGCATAAACAAACACAAATTTCTGTTTTCCCTCGTGACAAGCATGCATAAACAGATTGACTTAGACAAAGAACTTTTAGCGTTAATGTCTTGTATTGCCTTTTTTAATTGTCGTTCTGTCTGCGTCCTTAAATGGTGTCTAAGTAATGCCGTTAAGTGAACTGTTAAAACTATCAAAATGACAATTATCTGTTTTAAAGCATTAATCTTTATTTGTTTTCAGAGCAGCGTATATGGAAATTGTCATGAGAATAATAACTATAATTTTTAACGGAAGAGAATATGAAAAGTTTCTTTGTCAATTAATATTGTAATCGATCATATACGTATAGTTATCCATCTTTGAGAACCATGGCCCAGCCCAGCAGACTCGGAGGAGGAAGTGATGACCGGATATGATATGAGTGGACAAGTTGTAGAATGGGCAAAGGTGATATCGGCACAAATTTATCTGCTTTGTCATCCGTATGCCGGCGCAAGCATAAATTGACGACTGCCACCGCAAGTTTGCCTATAAATTATTGCATCTTACTGCTATTCAAGTATATCGTATTATTGCCCGAGTTCCGGAGACAGGTGATTGTTTGTTCATCGGCGATGTTGATGAGGACGCACTCCGATTTCACCAGCACCTTCTGCATAAGGCAGTGTCAGGTGATTGTGTGCACAGAGCAAGACCTGCGGACGCTGCAGCTACATCAATTAAAACTTGTGTGGATCCGAGGTCTTCCGTTGTCCGGACTGCGGTTGCGAGCTAGACTGGAATGCTAACGGTGCTTGCTACGCTTCCTCACAATCTCTGACTCGGATTTCACATGAATGTGATGATAATTAGATAAATTTATATACACCATTACCAATTTGCATAGCTATCACATGTTTTTGCAAACTCTGGCAAGTTCTGAAATGCTTCATGTTTAAATTTATCAAAGGGCCAGCTTCTTTCTTAAAAACACAAGAGATATCCGGCTCGGTCACGCCGAATCATTGAATGTTTTTGAGAATCGAGAATGAAAAAAATGTATATTTGCAGGTCGACGACTTATTATCGTCGCTCTCTTTTTTATATTTTCTAAAAGCTTGTTAATAATATCTTTCGTTATTTCGTTTGTAAATATTAAGTATATATTATCGATTTCAAAAAACTATAGATCAAGAAAAATAAAAATAAAATATTTGTTTATTTGAGTTCACTTTATTTCTCAACTCTGTAAAAACAGGTTTAGTCACAAAAGTTCCGGAAAAAATGGGGACGCGATATCGTGATCTACAGGTTCAATCCGGGAAAAAATGCACCATTCGATTCTTTTAGTCTTGACAAATTGAATGGCGATATTTTCATTCGGAATGAACCTATGGATCACGAGATATCGTGTTCTAAAGTTACTGGATCAATTTTTTCGCTCAAAATTAAAATGAATGCATTATTCCAAACACATCATTAAATTCATCTAGTTTTGGTGAATTCAATGACAGTAATTTCTATGAAAAGGTCTGATAATTCATAAGATATCATGTTTCAAAGTTGCTAAATTAGTTTTAATTTTTTGTAAAAAAACCTTATTTCATTTGGAACACTTAATTTGAAGCATAATATTTCATGAGACCAAACTTCAGTCATTATTTCACTAAATATCAGTAAATATGTGGCTTTATTTTTATCCAATTTGGTTCAGTAAGTCATGATATTACAATTATATGACACTTATTTGTCACCAGTATTTTTACTATATCACAATTAATTGTAATTAAAATATATAAGTCATAATAAGTAGCAAATAAGCATTATATATAGTTAAATTCCTTTATAATTACATCCATTTATAGTCAAATTCTTCTATAATTATCCTATTTGCTTTTCCATTTACATATAAATATAGTAAAAAAAATATCTTTATAGTCACATCATCTCTATAGTTACCAAAGTTTGCTTTTTTAAGGGTGATGTCTATAGAGAGATTTGATTGTAGTTGCAACTCCATTTTTAATCATAAAATATTACTTTTTTTTAGTAATTTTGTAATATTATTATAATTTAATAATTTAGTATTTTTATATTTTTATTGGATAACTATATTATTATAAATTATTAAATAAATAACTATAAAAATAACACTTATAAGTATACTTTACTAGTACTTGTAGTTATATTTTAATTAGTTAAAATCACATTGCAAATAGTATTTTATTTAGTATTTCATTTACTAATTATTTACAATATAAAAATTATTGCAAAAATTTTTTATAATTAAAATATAAAATTAATTATAAAAAATTTTTTAATAATTTTGTAATTAAAATAATTTTGTTAGAAATCTAAAAAATTCAGAAAAATATATGTTAAAATATAACTTAAAAATATAATTTATAATATTTATTTTTATATAAATATAAAAAATATTTATTAATAAAATTGAAAACTTTTTATATAAAACAAAAATTTTAATTTTTATTATATTTTATTAATAAAATTATATATATAATTTTATAATTTAGTTAGTTATTATATTTTTTAAAAAATAATTTTTTATTTAAAAAGTATTATTTTAGTTAATTTAAATTAATATAAAAATTATAAATTAGTTAAATTCTAAATAAGTTCTATTAAATATAATTATTAATTTTTATTTTGAGTATAAGAATATTTTCTTATATAAATAATATTAAGATAAATTTATTAATTGTTATAAATAAATTATATCAATTGAGATAGTTTTCAATTTTAATTTTAATAAAGCTTATTCTTTATTTATTAAATAGTAAAAAAATCTAAAGAGCTATAGTATAAAACAGAGATATTTAAATATATAATTAATAGTTTACAAATTATAAACAAATTAATAATAAATAAAAGATAATTAGTTCTAAATTATTAATTTTAAAGATGACATGTCTTCAAGTTATATTATACTTAATTAAATATATATAAAATATAAATAATAATATAAATATTGATAAAAATAATTAATATAAAATTAAAAATAATAAATATGAAATGAATAAATAAATAAAAATAAAAGTAATAAAAATAATGTATATCTAAGTTAATAATGTGATCTATATTTTACATCTAATTTATTTAATGAGATATTAAAAAATATTAATATAGATCTGTGTTAATTTCTTATATATTAAATTAAAAATGATAAATATAATACAAGAAATGATGAATATGATACAAGAAAATACAAAAATATATGAAAATTATTATAATTATCATTCCTCTTATTTATATTATATTAAGAATATACTTTTTTAAAAGCTTTCACTTTTTTTATTGCATTTTTGAGATTATTCAAAAATTCCTAAATAAAATTATATAATAGATATTTAGCTCATTTTATAAGATATTGTAGTTATTTTCTTATTATACGTTTGTCTAAAATATTTTTAACTTTATATTCTCTTTTATTATCAAATATAATAATAACTAATAGTAATATTAATCTATTAAATTCATCATTTTTATTATATAATTTTAGTAGTAAAATATGAAAAACTAAATACATTTTCATATTGTTTGGAAGTTTTTATTTATATACAACTAATAAAATTTTGTTAATTATTTTGAATAATTCAATATATTTAGTATTTAACTTTTTTATTAATTATTATTTATTATTTATCAATAAGTATATTAATAAAGTAAGTTAATAAAAAAACTTTTTGATCAATTTCAAATTCTTCAAATTTGCAATATTAATTTGTATATTTTTGTTATCTATTTTGAGCTTCTATTAATATATCTTTTGCTATTTGTATATTAATATTTTAATATTTCAAAAATTCTTGAGAGATTGCTACTTTATTATTAGTATTAATAGCAATAAGTATATAAAATGATTATTTACAATCTAATTTAAATAGAATATATTGGATGAATACTTATTTACTATTATTATAAGCAAATTCTATAACAACTAAATAGTTATTTCAGTTATCTTGCTTATATGTGATAAAAATTTTAAGTATTTCTTCCAAAGTTCTATTTAGATTTTTAGTTTGACTATTAATTTGTAGATGAAAAACTATTGATATAATCAATTTAGTATTTAATTGATTGAATAATAATTTTTAAAATTGATTGATAAATTTGATATTTTTATTTAAAATAATAATAATTTTTGGCAAGTTATATAATTTAAATATCTCATTGAAAAATATTTAATATTGTAATAATGATATATTGTTACAATAGTAATAATAATTTTATAAATTCAAAGAAAAATTCTGAATTTAAAAAATAATTAAAAATATTAAAAATCTTTGAAAATAGTAAACTTTAAGAAATAATATTTATTTTATCACTATTTTTTTCATTATTTTTCTAATTATTAATGAATATTTTTCTTTTATAAAAAGAACAAAATAAAAGAGTTTTTGTTATTGTTATTACTAATTATATTGTTTTAGCTCTGAAAAGCTTTATGCAAGTATAGAGAATCATCCTTTTTAAATCTTCTTTATTATTCTTTTATATTATCTTTCTCCTTTGATTTTTACTCTTCCATAATTTTCCACATTATTATTTTTTTAGTAAATACAATTTTTGTAAAAATTGAAATAGATCTTAGATATCTCTTCTTTTTCTTTTAATATTTTTATTAGTCTATCACTTTCTTCTAATTCAGGCTCAAGTTTATAAGCTAATTTAATAATTAATGAACAAACTTGTAACAATATGTTGAAATAAAGTGTACTCTTTTTGTAAATTTGTTAACAAAAACAACAATAAAGTCATAATTTTGTTTGATTTTTGTTAGTTGTACTATAAAATTTATTGTGATTTATTTCCATTTATTTTAAAATATTGAAAGAAATTATAATAATTTACTTAAGTATTAATTATTACTTTTATTATATTAATATAATTCACAATTAATGACATATTTATAAATACTTTTATTTATCTTTGATCAATAAAATTATTAACTAATATTAATATATATCTTATTAATTTCAATATGTTCAGTAATAGGTGTATTATGATATTTAAATAAGATTTTTGTTTTCAAATTTTTGTTATTTGAAATAATGAGTCTGGATATGTTTTTCAAATAAATTTATTATCTTTTATTATGTTGTGAGATAATGATCAATGATCAAGACTGGTACCAATTTTGTTTGAACTATCAGATGTGTCAGTGTTAGAAGGAACTGATACAATAATTTTGTTGGAATCAAAGTAATTGTTGGTTATACAGCCATTGAGACAAATTCAAAAGGGCAAATTTTAGCTTGTTCTTTTAATATTGCTTCTTTTAAATTTTTAGAATTTCTTTAAAATATTTATCTTCATTATATTTCTTAATTAATTCATTTTTACTAATTAATTTAGTATTAATAGTACTAATATTAATTAGATATATTTGATGAGATAAAGTATTATTATATTATCTTTTTTAAATTTGTATTTTACATTAAAATCATTGGCTTGTAGAGTTTCTAATCAATATGCTTGTCTTTTGGATAAGTTATTCTGAGTTTTGATATATTTAAGTGAAGTATAATTAGTTATTATAGTGAACTTTTAACCTTTTAAATATGATCTTCAAAATCTAATTGCATGTATAATTGCTAACAATTCTTTCTTATAAATTGAATAGTTTTGTAATATTATTTTAATAATATATTGTTATTCCAATTCTTTTAACAGTATTTATATAGCAGAAGATCTTTAATAAATCTCTTCTTACAGTTATAAGAGGAGATAGTGGATCAAATTAAGTTTATTATTAAGAAAGTTATATATTATAAT